GAAAATTGTAGTGTCCCCGCCTGGTGCAAATGACATAAGATCACCTGTGTTGTGCACAGACGACTCACTCTGTGCAGACTGGGTGATGTCTCACACGACCGAAAACTTGTGTAGTAATGTCACTAGATGCCATAAAAGCCATCATTTGTTTACACTGGGGTGGGGTGTTGTGGTGACAGGAGCAAAGGAAAAGAATTTCAATAACTCAGCTATAAGCTCTTCTGGCAGTATTGCAAACTATGTTGGAGGGAAAATTTGATATCAAAATTATCAGAGTTTGACAGCTCAGCATCTGGGCCAAACATGGTCGAATGGATAGAAAAGATGGAACTGATTTGCCAGATGTGTGAAGTGAAGCAGCCAGAACATGTGATTCCTTTAAGACTGTCTGGTGGGGCATTTGCCATCTATCAGCAAAATTAAGTGAAGAGGAAAAAGCAAATGTTGAACAGTTAAAATCAGCTCTTTACACAGCATTTGCAATATTTGTTGGTTGCACATGAACAATTCTTTGGGCAGCAGCTTTGAGCAGGGGGAATCCATTGATGTGCACTTTTGTCAAGGGGTTGCCAAATCACATGAAACGGCTCCTTCATGCTTCTTCTCAGATGGCGGTATTGACCATCGAACAGATTCTTGCTCATGCTCAAGCAATAATGAAAAATGAAAACCCAGATGAAGACTTAGCAGTAGTAACAGTATGAGAGATACGCAAAAGGACTATGCAACCTCCTCCTAGGGGTGCTAATGACATATTTTGTTGTCAATGCAATGGCCTTAATCACTTTGCCAAAGGTTGTAAAAATCTGCTCATAGGAGATGGGAAGCCTTGTATTTCTTGTTATAATTTCAATAAAATAGTCATGTATCCTAAGATTGTTTGGGAAAAGAGTAACTCAGTGCTGGTTTCTTCCCCAGTCAAGATGTAAACTCAGCACTGTCAATGATAGAAATTAATGTGTATGGAAGGAAGGAAAATAACTAGTACCCTCAAAAGATTCAAACTTGGAACACAATAGACTCTTGATCATAAATTCTTCATTTTATATGATAAGAAATTCCAAAATGATATTTCCAGCATTCTTTGAAGTATTTAGCTTAGTATTCTCAATGTTGTTGTTTTAAGTCTGTTGTTTTTTGTAGCCTTAGTTATAGTTGACAGGCTGCTGTGTATTGACGAACAAAAATATTACTTGTGTTGAGTTGGTTAAAATAGTGTTGCAGCATATCTATGGATGATGATGGGTATGTCCCCCATTCCCATAAATACAGTAGTGAATACTGTATTAGTTGGAGATTCATCTTCAGCTGTGCTGGTCAAACTCTCTGCCTCTGGGCAAAGAGGATCCCCAGACAAGACTATGTCAAAGGGCAGAGTCTCATCTCAGGAAACAGCTATATACGGAGTCTATGGGGAATTTTTGACTGAGTCTACGGGCTCAGATGCACCACATTAAATTTGGCCTTGCCTCATCTGAGCACATGGGGTAGTTGCTAGATATCCTAGAGTTGGAGATTCATTGTGGAATTCACTTGACTCACTTCTAGCAGTTGACTACTACTTCTACGCACCACTGGCAAATCTTATATGTGTTGTTCTTGTCCTAAGTATTATCATTCATGACCAACCTTCATTTGATTATTCTATTCAGTCACCTTCCCTAGATTACAACAAATAGACAATCAGAAGAATAAGCAAAATGAGATAGAACGATTTTGATTTAAAGCCAAAACATAATTCAGATTGCAGGAAATTGCCTACAGTGCCCAGTGTTCCCAAGCAGACCCCTACCCTAACCCCAGCCACAACCTTGGCTTGACACTACTTCAATGATTGAACAGGAACCAGAAATTGAGAAAGAAATTTTTATTATATTGGAAACTTTTAGTAAAATGTGTGTTCAGGATAATTCCTAGAAGAGTGAATAAAAGAATGTTTTTATGATAGTTCCTGTTGAAAAATAAATGGTTGGACATACTTTGAATAGAGAGAGTGAATGAGAGCAGTGTCAGGCTAAGTGTTATTTTCTGGGACTATAGAGATTCCTCATTCATAGTGTTTCCTAAAAGGAACTACTTTTTTTTTTTTTTTTTTTTTAAATTTGCACTGTACATCATATGATGTTTTTAGCATGCTCATCATGCTGGAAAAATAGTTGCTTTTAATGGCGTTTTCAATGCAAGCAAGTCTGGTCAAACAGAGTGTAGCAACTGCTTGTAGTCTATTCTCCAGGCATCTTAGTGTTGACTGAAGTTTTTAAATGAATTATTTTCTTGAATTATTTGTTTTTTGTTTATCACAGCTTTAAAACATTTTTGCCTTTGGTCTTAGACAGTTTTTTCTCTCTCAATTTTACCACCTCCTTATTTGAAACAGTTCACAAGGAAATTGATGAAATACATTTTGACCAAAATGTTGCAACAAAAATGAAATTCCAGTTAAGTCTCATGTCTTTGAGATTTTCAACTTAATATTTCCAATGATCCATTCTATATTTTTCCTCAAATAAATTGTCTATATAGAAAGGAGGGGGGATTTTTTTTTTTTTTTTTTAACTTTCTGACAATATAAAGCACAATAAAAAAAAAATAGTTATAAAACAAATATTTTATGAAATGGATTTTAAAAAAATTCTGTTTGCCATTACATTTTTTTTGCTTTATGCTACTGCTCTATTTTTATATGGAGAGTACACCTGAGCAACACTGTAATATATTGGCTGAAATACCAAAAACATAAGAAATTCAGTTGCTCCTTCCACTCCACTAGCATAATAAAAAAAATTTGGAATGTTAACAACCCTTCTCAAAATTATATACTAAATAAAGATGTGAATGCCAACAATTTTGGACGGCTTTTTGCAAATTTTTGTGTGAAGCCAATGTCACAGGAAAACTACCAAGCACTCTACATAAACCTTGTAGCATGAGCTGATGTTTTGCATTTAGTGCAAAGAACATTAGTTCATCTAGTAAAAATTTTGTTTGCATGTAACTTTGCCTTGGCTTTTGCAAAAAGTCATACCTACCTTCAGTTCCATCAATTTTTCTGCCAGACCTGGGAAGCCTGGAGATTGAAAAGTTGGTATTGACCTATCATAGTAAATTTGCAACATGTGTGTACAATTTCATTGAAATCAGTCAAGAAATGTGGATGTGTTATGTAAATAATATCATTGTTGACATGACATTGATGATAGGAATAGTAGTCATGGTGGTGATGGTTATATTGGTAATTTAAAAAAAAAAAATGCTGTGAACTTTTAGAACATATGTGATCATGACTCTCCACAGTTTCCTTTTCTTTATTTATGAATTGCCATGACTTTTCTTGGGAACGATAGTGAAGTAATTTTCCATTACCTTCTCCACTGATTGAAGTTTTGAGTTTTCCTTCTCTTAGAATTGTTGCCATTCAAGACTGGAGAGATCAAAGTGAGGTTATTTAAACTATTGCTAGAGGGTGAAGAAATGAATTCATGACTTTCCCAAGAGTATTTGTGTGAAAGTGACTACAACAGACTAGTCTAGAATCTGAACTTACCTCACTGATTGCATTTTACATACCAACCGCCATTGAACTATCACCATATTTAATATTAATAATAATGATGATGATGATAAAAATATTGATTGCGATATTCCTTCTGGTCAAAAGCAGTGAAAAAAACAGAAAAAAAAACAAAAAACAAGTGAAAATAATGATGACAGCAGGTATGATAATGTCATTACTGATTTTAATCTATTTCAAGCAATAAGACAATTCCATTTTGTCTATAATTTGCTGCTATAAATATAAGTGAACCAATTAATTCTTTTCTTATTTAGTCAAGTAGCACTTATTTAGTACCGAGTTGGTTTTAATTTAAAATGCTTTGTCAATTTCTGCCTTATTTATCCCCATCTTGCTTACTATTATGAAGTTGAAATCCACATTCACATTTAAATAACATATTGCATTTATAACAACTCTGATTCCATGTGTGTACCATATTTATTTGTGGGGAAATGTTGCTGTTGTTAATCTTATGAGATTTATAAAATTCTGACAAGATATGTCTTGGTTATAGGCACTTTCAATCTAATTTAATCATCAGATATACATATTTGTCTGTGAATGGCAGAATATATATAAATTTTTACAGATCAAAACAATTTTAGGCAAATGAATGACAAAGTGGAAAGGATTCTGTTCTATGCATTTCATCTTCTAAAAAGACTTCATTGAATTAAAGTAATGTTTTTGTGGATAGAATGATATGAGTAGAAGGGGGTATATAAAAAAAAAAAAACTCAAGCATTGGTTACAATTATGTCAGTCAGTCAGTTATGTGTCATGCTTGATACAATCATAGGCGATAATGTATCTTTTGATACATGGCTGACGAGGCAGATTTTTCCCATGGTAGGTTGCCATTTCTTTCTGTTGTAGACCAGTTGTCATCCAAGGCTATAGAACCCGGTCTGTCCTGCTATTTACCCGTAGCTGGGTGGAGAAGAAGAGGATTCATAACTTTCCCAAGGGTATTAGCATGGAAGTGAATGCAATGGATTTGACTGGAATTCAAACTTGGTTCTCCAATTACTCAGTCTCAGCTGCTATCCATTCTCTGTACTCAGATAAAATGCTGAAGATCTGGGAATGATGAAATTTTAATATTTTTTATATGATTATTTTAGGCCTAGTTAAAAGATAATGGTTATTATAAAAGTGAAAGGTCATTTACAATATTTTATTTAATGACTAATACATTGAAAAAAATTAACAGACATGGGATAAAGTTTATGAAATCCAAAATATTTTATATTGGTTTTGTTAAATTGAGGGTTTTTACTGTATTTGTGAAACGTGAGGAAGTAACATAAGCATTTCTTTTCTTTAATTAATTTTTTATCTAAGCAGATTTTTGGTATATTTATTTTATGTTTCTGTTGTCTGACTTAAGGTTTTTGATCAAGTCTTTTCAGCTAATAATTGTTTTATTTTATTTTTGAAACAGGGCAAATCGGCACTGTGGTCCCACATGCTTAGTTTCCTGGAACTTGAAGAAATTAATGATTCTGGCAAACCTATAGATCCTAAACTGTTAACACCAGGTAAATTTTCATACTTCTTGTTTTATTGATAGAATAATAAGTTATATTCCAGTCAATTACTTTGGATTGTTATGGAAATTTTTTTTTTTTTTTTTTTTTTGGCATTGTATTTTATTTTTTGAAACTTTTGATTTTAAAGACTTCGCTCTCAAATCCACAAAACTATGCAAAAATGTCTTTTATTCTTATTAGTAGCTACTATTTAGATTTTTATTAAACTACTACATAATGTCTACTGCAATTTCATATGTAATTATTATTTGCGTAAAATAAAAATATTTACAGCTTTTAAGCTTTTAATGCTCATTGTTCCACTAGAGCAACATATATTAAGACATATTTGGAGCTAACAGGTTAATTGAATTAGAAATTGAATTATGATTATATAATTTTTATGACTGTTAATATCTACCAGTTGTCTTCTTTTTTTCTCTCTCTGTCTCGTCAGTGAATAACTCAAAGATGGCTAGTGCTATATGTATCCAATCTTATGAGGTTATTAATGGGACCCTAGAGCATTCGCTTAGGACATTATTTTTTTTTTTTGATTTCTAGAACTTTCTAAATTTTTAGTGATGTGGTTAATTTACAGCAAAAGGTGTGTATAATAACATCTATAATAATCAAAATGAGGAAAATAGTACTAATATAATTAAAAGTAAAGACCTCTACCCACAGAAGAAGAAAATAGACTTAAATAGAGAGGATGTCGTTTTACCTTTAGGAGAACCTTTCAGCCAACACTTTTTCAAAAGGAGAACAAAATACTCAATGACACACTTGTAAATATCGAATGGGGAGAGAAAATTGGAACAATTTATTCGTTCCTTAGATTTGATCAAGGGAATATTAGTAAATATTTTTCTATTTTCTATTCTTTTTGGAACCTTATGTTTTTGTTTTTATTCGTCAATTTATTTACAATTAAAATCTATTTTAATCAGGTTCCAATTTTCCCACCTCATTCACTAATTACAAGTGTGTCATTGAGCATTTTGTTCTAGGCATTAACATTCTGCTTTTGAAAAAATGTTGGTCGAAAGGATCTCCTAAAGGTAAAATGTCATCCTCTCTATTTAAGTATAATTAAAAGTATATTTTTAATTCCTCATCTCCAAAATTAAATGCAAAATCATTTTTAGAACATTACTTTTATTCTTTGTTTTGAAATTGTCTAATTGTTACTGATATTAAATTATTTTTATTTATAAGTTTTAAATTATGATAATTTTCAAGAACAGAACAGTTTTAAATGAGTTAAGCTCCGAAAAGTGTATTTTAAAGCAATCAGAGTTGTAAACTAGATTTCTTAAATGTCCATGTTGCTGAATATGACCTTTTAAAAAGATTGCTCAATAAAATGAATAAAATCTGTTCATCATTATACACTTTTATAAGTTATATTACAAGTTCTCTTTATTCATACATTTCAGGCTGAAATCAAAAATTTTAAAAATCATTGACTAAATATTCTGAATTGTCGTATAACTTTTAAAACTAAAAGAAATAAGTCCCTTTTTATCATACTATGACAGAAAGTATGGTTTTGTTGCAAACTATTTGATTGCTAGTTTAGTTCTTTAGTAGGTACTTTAGAAATATGGCCTTGTGCCATACATTTGGCTTAGTCTACATAAATCAGAACTATAAACATAAACAATTTTATCTTTTTATATATAACATCTTTTTATACTAAGTCTTATACATTATGAAATGGACAAAGTCCAACAATTATAATTGTCGGACTATGTCCATTTCATAATGTGTGACGTCATTTGTTTACATTTGATACACTATGAGCAGACATGAATGTACGTGAGAGATTCATGGATGATTGAAGTTTAAAAGCAGTAAATTTGACCTTGCTAACCGATCGATTCTCTATGGTGAAATCGGTAAAAGCACGTCAGGCTATATGACAGTTCTGTATAGGATACAGGTTTGAATCCTGTTGGAGGATGAATATTTTCTATGAAAATTTCTCAGACATTCAAGCCGGTAAATGTTATTTAATACTGTTTATTATAAACAGAGCATTTACTTAAATATTTGTATCTATAAAAAGAATGTTAAACATAAAAATGTCTTAAAATAACTGTCTTATGTAATTTAAATGTTATAAAGTGTATTCCTCTAATAATGAAACTGGTTGTTTAATCACCAGTAGACATCTACTTAATTTACTTAAAATATATTATGTGGTCAGGTCAGAATGTAATTATTTTATTTGTGGTACTTATAATGTCAGTTCATCAAGTTTACTCTAAACATTAATAAAGTAATATAAACTTTCTTTAATTGTTAGATAATTCTCAAAGCTAAAAGTAAAAAAAATATCTGAAACCAACAAAATCCTAGTTTCGTCAGGTTTATAAAGTTGCATTAAAATGACTATTTTCATTAATAAAAAAAAAAAATCTAAAGAAATTCTCTTCTGTTAAACACTATAACAATTATTCCTTGAATTATCCAGACTAGCAATCTTCATCTTTGTTGTTTTGATCATTGTAAGTAGACTCGGTCTTCAGGTATGTGTTGTATTTGGTAATATTTTTTTTTCCTTCCCAGTCTCTAGATTCATCTGACATCATAAACTTATAGTACTAGATGAATCCTTATTGCTTAACCAGTGATGGGATTTAGGAAAAGTTGGATATTACTATGTGGTTTATATACCTGAGGAAAACCAAGGATCCCACTAGCACAGTGATTAAAATAACAAAGATGAGAATGCTAGTCTGGATGAAATATCAAATAATTGCGATATTTTGCCACAAAAACTCAGATTAGAGTTTTAATATTGAAAGAAATAGGACCTAAAAAATATTAAGAAATTCTTAGCTTTAGAAAAAAAAATTAAGAATATGCATTAGAATGATTAACATAACTTTTCCATTTGATGCATTGTCCATCATGTATTAACTGCCCTATATTGACCCATTAAAGGAAAAAGAACTAGCCTTGGATTCAATGAATTGAAAGCTCTTGTGGACATGTATTTCCCTTTGTGCAGTAAGTACATACCATGGAAGTTTGCATGGTAGAAGCTTCTCTTGACAAGAGAGCATGTGGATGATGATGAAAATGATGATGATGAGGCTACCACTGTTTGTTGTTGATTTTTCAGGTAGCTGATTGCTTTGTTATTACTGACTGTAACTTGTTTGGAAGAAAAAAATCATTGTTGAAGCATATTCTATATTTTTTCTGGATTTTCTTCTATAACATGTTTTTTTTATTTCTAATCTAAAAATCTATTAAAATATATTCAGGTTGTTTTTGTCATTGATACACTGAATTAGAATTGATTTTTTGCATTTTATTTTTGTTAATCATTTCACCCAAAGCAAGGTGATAAAGTCACTAAGACACAAGGGATTACTGAGAGTGAAAGAAACTGAAAAAATATTTATGAGGAGATAGGACAATAAAAGAACAGGTGATGGTAACTGACATTGTATTAAAACATTTTTGGTATCATTGTTGTTAGGTTAGCAAAAAACCAGAAGAAAGTTCTACAAATAAGTTGAGAGAAGTAACTATTAGAATACAATTATCTTTCTTGTCTGTCTTTTTCTTAAATCTTAATAAATGTTGTGAAGTCATTTATTATATTCTTATTCTAGAGAATTGATATTATGATGAAAATTTCAAGCCTTGTAGACTTTGGACTATGTCATTTAAAAACCTGAGGGAAAATTTGGAAATTTAACTTAAACATTCCGCCGAGAAAGAAAGGTTCTGTGTTTTTGTAGGATTCAAGAAGGATACATTATTACAAATTCCTAGAATCTGGACAAACTTTTATTATGCAATACTGAGTAAATGGTTTGTTACATTGGTAGAGTAAAATCTTTTTTTCTGAGATAAAACAGCAGGTGAATTTAATGCACAACAATCCTAAGGTTGGAGAGACATTACAGATAATGATTATCAGATTAGAATAGGATTTTCTTTCATATGACATATCTAGATCTTTATCATTTTGTTTCATCCAGTATTCTTTGGTTAAGTTCTAATAATTCAAGATAATGAAAAATTTCTCAGTGTGGATTAAATAAAAATTAAAATTCTTTACAAAATAATGAAGTAAATGTTTCACCTCAAAAGTAGCATAAAGTCATAAAAAACCAAGGAAATATTTAATAACTTGGAACTTTTGCCTCATTCTAATATTAATAGTGAAATTTCTAATAGATCCAGATCAGGCCAAAAATGGAGTACTGTTGCCATGTTGCTGTCTGGTCCTCACTTTCCAACCTTGATAAAGTTCAAAAGTGCCTCTGTGTCTTTGTTGGAAAAGGATTATTTAACACCCTCCAACTTCTCTCTTCCTATTTAAAAAGTGCATATCCATTGTTTGGATCCCTTGAAACCTATATCTGCTAACTTCATTTCCATATCTGAAACATAAAAAAAGTATAATTTTTAAAGAATTAATGAATTTTATTTAGAATCTGGAATTATTACTTTGAGAAATCCAAACAATTGATGTGCATTTCTTAAATAATGCAATTGAAATTTGCTTGACTGTGAAGGCTTTCTATCCCTCCTGTAGAGGAAACCAAACACTGCTAGAAGTCACATTTTCTTTATTAAGATTCTCAAATACACAGGCTGATAGACATAACTATACACTGTTTAAAAAAAATAGTGATGTCTACTGAAATATGTGTATGCATGAAATATAACATTTAAAGTAATAAAATTTTTTTTTTTTTTTTAAAGAAAGGCACATTTTTGTGAAATTTGTATTGTTGATCATCTGTATATTTCTGAGATGAGGTATTGTAACTATTTACACTATTTACATTGTTTGGACTGTTGTCCTCATCTTTATTATCATATTCACAATGTTTTGACTGTTGTATGCCGCAACCTTCTTCAGGTGATATACATTGGAATTTCAAATCAAACCTTTTATATTGTAGATTGTCCAGTAGACAAAATAATAGGCTCAGTTCAAAATTCCAACATGGAGGCTAGAGCATACAACAATC